GAAAGCGTATGGAAGTTAATATGTGTTATAAAAAAAAAAAATAGAGTAAACTCAATAATAAAAATTTTTTTTACAGAATTATACGTTGTTGATTTTGGAAAAATGTTCAATAATATAAAATACTGCCAGTGTGAAACATGTCGATATGACACAACAGGCTTTAAAACTCATCAAAAATCCATGGCAATCACAATTGTTGTTCATTTTAATTCTAAGGATTTATTTCGAATTTAATCTTGAGCCATTTTATAAGAGATTGAACAGTACGCGATTAATAAAATTGTTTGAAAACCCGGCGCGGCATTTGTTTTTTTAAAAAATAGTTATTTTATAAAAAGTGTTTATTATTCAACGTCTATTGCTCGTTCATAAGCACAACTTCTATAGAAATATATAGACACAAGTCCCAACTGAATTAAGCAATACTATATAGTAACGATAAACCGATGTAAATAATATAAAGTGTTACAATAATATTTTTCTGTCGTGTCCACTAAAAACCCAAAGGTTGCAGACATAACAGTATTTGGCTTTATTCCATTCCAAACAAATATATTTATTTGTTTGAATGTGTTTATGCATTATTCAATTATAACTTAGGAAATACAAGATTCGTTGAAGTTTTTACGAATAATAGCCACAATGTACCAAATACAAACAATAGAATAATGACTTCTGCTGAATGAATATTAACCAAACACAACGTTTTACCCGGTATTGTTTTGCGGCGAACATTATCTTTGATAATGCTAATATACGTTCAGTTATGTGAAAAATATGCATATAAGTTGAAATATATGTTATTGTGTGATTATTAAAAGGTCACAGATTGTATTTTAAAGGACTATAGGCGCTTCTTTTGTACTTCCGGTCATGAAACGTTAATTATTTTTTCCTATCATAAATGATTATGAACGCCTACCGAGTAGTGTAATGTATACAACTCAATCATAAATAACATTATATTATAATGGTGTAAAACTGAAACCGATGTAAAGTGATTTTTATGAATCTTTACAACAAAGCAAATTGAAAATAATTATACTGTAGTTTTTTTTTCAAGTGTCTCCTTTGAAAATAAAAATAAAAATGTAAAACGCATATAGATAGAAAAAGGTTTCACAAAAAAGTGCATATAATGATATATATATATATATATATAATATATTATGTGATTTAAACGTGATCACACATAAATTAATAAAACACAAAACTTTTTGTTTTTTTCAGTTAGAAAAAACTTAAATACAAAAAAATGCGGTTTTTTTTTTGTTTACATCTAAGAAATATTTGGTGTTTAGCCAAAAATATGGATTTTATTGGGTTTACGCACACCTGAAAGAACTTAGCTGGGCCGGACATTTTGAAACAAAATACGGTCTATAAATTAGGTAATGTCAAAACAACGTTCGGTTAATCAAAATAATAAAAGCTGGTTTACAATTGTATTTAAATGCGACACACCCGTTTACAAGTATTCCGCCTAACCCGGTCTGGGCGTGAGTGACATTCATTGATTAAAATTACATTTGAAATGTCTTTTTCAACGTTTCTCAAGTGTAAAATATCTTTCATTTCATATTAGTATAACTTAAACACGTAATTCGTTTAACGTTTTACACCTAATCTATTATATATGTGTACATGTATTATTTATGTATATATATAAATAGTATACACACGTTTATCATATTGTTTAACGCTCATATAACAATATAATACTGTAAGTATATAGTGTTAAAAGAAAAACTCGTTTCGTGTCGAATCGTTTTTAATTTAACATTGTTCATAATATTTCGTTCTGTGAATAATGAAAACAAAATATCAAAATTATTTTTAACCCGGCCACTTTTTAAAACGCCTATGGATACAGTGTGGTGACGAGGATATGACAGATTTATATGAAAATGAATAATATTTAATTCTGTCAAGTGTTCGTGACCCGCGTTGTACCTGTTCTTCCAGCTGTAAGTGTACACACACACCGTTCGCGTTTGGGTGATGTGAGCTTGGACATATTATACTTTTCTGAATGCTGAAGCCAACAACAACGTTTATTATTGTTTTTTAACCGGCTTTTTATTTACTATGGTAATATCGTAAGAGCACGCATACCACACCGTGGTCGTAACCCAACGGCGAAATAGCTCAATTGATCAAAACTGCCGTGATCGTTTTAAATACTTATAATTGATATTGAAAGCTTCTAGTTTATGAAATTGACGGTCAACGACTTCTTACATAATATAATATTATCGTATACATATTGGGACGGCCAGGGGAGTAACGCGCAAACTGTGAAAAAGAAAACTACTATTACAATATCTGCAATTAAATCCGGTGTGTACACCGCGTGCGCTTCCTTGGAATATAATTATGTTTTTATTCGTTTTTAAAAGTATAAAAAAAATAATTAAAAAAGTATGTTTCCAAAGAAAATGAATATTTAGTATACGTTCTATCTACGAATTACACTCATTTATTATACGCGCTTTCCTACTTTATATTAGCCGCTACAGATTAGCGGAAAAAAATTGTAATTTATTTTGGCAAGTAACACATATATTATTATATCATATGATAGATGATGATTTTTTTTTTTTTGTATATACTACAATAATATAGACTGGATATAGACTTTGGAGAGAGATATATGAAGAGACAGAGAGAGAGAGCGGGTTTTGCTGGGTGTATCCATTTGTGAAAAAAAAAATATATGGTTTTTTTTGTTAAATAGCTTTTTACACATTTCTGTAACTTTTGTGTATACTGATTCGTCTACGGGTTTATTTTTTAAGACGTTAAATAAATATTCATTAACAAAGTTTTTGGAAAAAGTCTAATAATTATTATTCGTGTTGGGGTTTTAATACTGATCGAGAAAAGGTATTTTTTTTTTTTAAGCTGTTTGCCGAAATAAATTATAATAAATCCGGAAAACATAATAGTGCGGTAATGGTTTTAATCCCGTATAGATTAGTGAGATGTCAGATGTTGTAACATCTTTTAATACCAAAATAGAGCCACAGTAAACGAGTTATATTGCTTTTCAAAAGGAAAGAAAACAGCAAACGCTTGTTAATGCGACATAAGACCGTTTGGACGCATTAAACCAACGACGGGAATTATTATTAAGAGTCGATAAGAACGAATTTAATATTTATATTGGCGATAAATTAGATTATCACGTTATCGATAACTCAGTTTTCCCAATAATAATATCGACCAGTAATTCTAATTAAAAATTATACATGTATGCAATGTATGCATGCTTAACCGCGACGATAGCTTAATATTTTTTTAATCGGAACGGTTTAAAAAAAGTTGAAAAAAGCGCTATTATTGATGTTAAATGTGTGTTAAGCGATTAATACAAATTTTTAATTTGTTTGTTAAAATAAAAAAATTAAACATAATTGTTGTAGTATTTGAACATTGGTATTATTCAAAAATTATTTTTAAAATCATTCGTTTTAGGTCAGTTAAAGACGTGAAGGTCTGAATTTTTATTGAAAAAAAGAAATTTTCATTGTCCCATGAAAAAAATGCAACACATTTTTATTTGAATCGAAAGATTTTTATTTATAATTAATATTAATATGTAACCAAATTATACAAAATACAATCGTTGTTGGGAACTTACATAAAAAAAATATGTTTACATTTGCCCCATTTTTTTACAATAATTATCTCACCAGACCCTCTAAAGCCAATTGGCGCTGTTTAATTGAATACAATAATAGTATTAAATATTACAAAATATACAATTAAATCCTCTAAAAATCAATTTTTAATACATAATAGATATTTTCTGTATTATATTGATTTTTTTTTCTTCACTACCGTTACTAATTATTCCAACCAGATGAGCAGTCTGGAAAGAATCAATAAGACCGTGTTGGTTATTACTGACCATATTTTTTTATAAAAGTGTTATTTTTATATTAAGGTACATTAATGTAATAACGAAAGTCTTATAGAAATAAACTATACACTTATTAGATCAAACCCATCGCCGAGAAAGTAGAAAACATGTTTTTCGAACTTAAATTATCATAATACAATTTTAAAATATAAGCGCATATACGATATAGGTTGTAATTACCGTTATGTCATCATGCTAGTTTAATTAAACAAGTTTGTATTCAAGTATTTAAGACTATCTATTTAATTATCGATACTTTTTAATAATGGATAATTTCCAAAACGGTTAGATAGAATAATATATCGTTTATTAACACTCATGGTAAGTCGTAAACACATTCACCGGTAATTAATGGCTAGTCTTAAATTGTTTAAGACCTTGGAAGAAAATATTTATCGGGTGGTCCGGTTAAATATTACAAAATTTCAAATGGAATTTGCCACTTCGCCACCAAGTGCTACCACCAAATCGCTTAAATATTAAATATATTATTTGTCGTCTCAGAAAAAAGAAATATTATACATTTTCATAGTTTACTCGCACAACAAGTCTTATTTTTCCTTAACCAATAATCTTATCTGTCTATGAAATTGTTTAAAATAACACGTCTGAACTAGAGATAACACATTTTTCTTTAATAATCATTTTTCGAACTATTATTTAGAACTGTTTTATTTGGGGAAAAAAATAATACTTTAAATCGAGAAGACGTGTTATTGTAAATTTTAAAGCGTATTTTGTCGTTGAATTGGATGATCGTTTCTAAAAAGTTAGAACAATAAAAAATTCGAGGCGTTAGCTCGTTGACGTATATAGAAATATTTTATCTTTCGGTTAAAACCGGGTTTGTAAGATTAACAAAACTCGTAGTAAAGTACCGTAAATATAGTTATTGAAAAAAAAAAAATGTACAAAAAAATCGGTATTTTAAAACGATATTAAAATGGGATTTTATTCCGAACATACGGGCTTATAAAAAAAAAAATTAACTACCGCTATTGGGCGGTTATATTTTATGGTATAATATTTTTAAGATATATATATATATTTTTTTATACATATAATATGCACGTACCTGTTGAGTGTATGTTGGCCCGGACGGCGGTCGGCGGTCGGCGGATTCGATACCAAAGTAAATCACACTGCGAAAAACAAGCGGTTTTATAAGCGCCAGACACGTCCAAAAAGGGTGTCGCGCATGTTCTTCAAACCGAACGCACTATCTTCTGGAAAACACCGCCTTCGCAGCTTTATTCGTATAGAATATTGTTGTCGTTATTATTATTATTATTATTTTTGTTATTATATTATGTGCGCCATAGGTGTGTTCCGCAACAACTCGGGTGAGCATTTATTGTGTAACACGCGTTTGAAAACAAACATCCCGACACCGTAAAAGTATTAACTTTCCCACTTGCGTTAAATCATCGTCAAACAAAACGTTTCCATCCATAATACAATGATATCATATATGTGTATATATATATATATATATATTGAATTATAGACACGGGTAAATACCAACTATATCGGACGACAAAACCGGCCGCCCGTTAGACGGCACAGAGTAAACAACGGTTGAACCCCATAAAACATCATGATTCGGTTAATTTGCGTTTTTGTTTTACATAAAAGAAAAACATATTTCTGTATAATAATACGAATTGACATTTAATTATTACCGGGACACTTGTCAAACGTTACTTAATGATAATAGGGAAACTGTAAATATCCGCGATACGACTCAAATGTATTGGAAAATTCATTTTTTCAGGCAAAACGTTATAGTTTTAAAGAGATGATATTTCAAATAAAATATAATACACACCTAATGTATACTGACAAACTAATAAAACCTATTAAAACGTAAATTATATCTGACATTTTAAAACTTCCGCGACAAATGATCGAATCTAGCCGAATAATTTATTATTAAGCGTGGCTCGACCCAAACTAAAATCTGCAAATGAACCTTGTTTGCACAAATATGAGAAAAATATAACTATGCGTGAAAAGTACCATCAATTTGGTATTCAAGAGTTCTCCTCAATTTCCCTCTCAAGTACAAAACATTTTTTAAAACACAACAATTAATATGTTTACCAAATTTAAAATTAAATAATTATTCTAAAATGCAATTTTGCTTGTATTAAATATTATTTAATACTGTTGCTGGATGGCTTCTTTTCATGTAAATCGATGCCTTATGTTAACTTCGCCACAATGACTTATTTAATTTTCGATAACGTAATATTTTATCCATAAAAAATGTTTGAAAACTCAAGTAGTAGATTTGATTTATGAATCTATTTTTTTAGCAACCCCCTATAGAGTACGGGCCGTTGTATGCGACCTTGAACACTCTGTATATGTACACGTTTTTTAAAGTAAATATTAAAACCGAAATAGCTAAACTCTACACGGTGCCTTACCAAGTATTCTAAGTAGTCAAATTAGAAGTTTATCTGGAGTTTTCTTTTTTTACAGCCAAATAAAACTCGATACAGACTAACTGCTAAAGCTATAGGAAACCGTGTTTTTTTTTTAAGAAGAACAATAAAAAAAAAAACATTGTCGTGTGTAGAGTTTTGCTGACAAACGAAAAGATCTCGAGAGACTAGATAAAAAAAAACTTTTCCCAAGAAGCCCGGGCATACTTGCAAACTTTTTGTGTCATTTAACCGACATTTTCTTAATTCTCGGTAGTTGTAAAACAACAGGCTATATAATTGCCATAACATTCTAGCGCAGGGCTGAGAAAAAAATAAAAAACTCTTAACTAACTCAAGATGTATAATTTAGTATAAACATGTATTATAATGCAATAAATGTAAACAATAATATACAAGAATAACAGTAATAATAATCATTTTTTTTTTTTTTAATAATTTCAAAACGTTAGGGCAATCGTCGCCGTGAAGTAAAAAAAAATGGGTACTTTTGGAAACGGGAACTTGTCCACTCTAAAATATTGCTTAAAGTGTGCTTTTATATATTTGTTTATGTCAACAGCTTTTATTTATAAGCAGTGCGACAATATTGGTTTAGCTTATTGAAAAATATTAGCGAGTTTTTGCTTCTTTCACTGGAATCGCACAAGTATAAGAATACATTTTGGATAAACCTATATAATATTGTAAAGCTAATCGTTTGAAGTTTATTTAGCTGTTGATTGGTCGCACTTTTCAATTAGTTTATTTTGAACTCATTTTACTACTCACATTTTTTTAGATTTTCGTTTGACTCCCTTTGGTCTCCCCGGATTGGTGGTAATCAATTTATCGATTGTACTTAAAAACTATGAAAGCTCGAGAAAAAAGCGATTACTTACACGATTTACCTGTATAGTAACATGTTTTTATTAATTATTTGACGCTTGGGGGCCGTTGTGGCCCAGGAATGGATGGGTGTAAATATATGTTATTTTAGCCACAGGTGTCTAACAGGATTTTATCAAGCTGGTTGATTCATCAGGACGTGTCTGGAACAAGACGTTTACTTAGTTATTATTTGCAACAAAATCCCTACTGTTAATGAAAAGAGAAAGTTAAAAAGTTATAGTTTTCCACTGATTTTCTTCTAAAATTAGCCTGTGTCGAGTATCAAAAATAGACATTGACGCGTTATGATAAGTTAAACAGTTTATTTTACAATTTTTAACTTGACTGAGTATCTATTTTTTTTTTAACAACTAACAACTTTTTTAACTAAAATGTATAGGTAAAACTGAAATATAATCGAGTATTCATGTATTGCATCAAATTAAATTTTTTATATTTTTTCAGAATAAAAGAGAAAAATAATAAAATTCTAAAGACGGTCGGTGTGGTTTAAGCTTTGTGTCGATATAGTCGAGAGTTGTATATTACATCCTTAATCGTAATTAATATTATAAAAGCCCTTAAAAAAAGTCTGCAATAAATAAAGTTTAGGCTTCCAATCGATTTTTAAATTTATATAGGGAAATTAAATATTAAAGAGAATTATTTAGTTTCACCAAGTATCCACTTTCTATAATCTCCACTTATGGCGCACAGTTTTAAACACGGTAAAAAAATATACTTAAATAATGAACGTTCCATAATATCTTTTATAATATTTAAAAAATGATACGATATAATGAAAATAGCCAATGACGGGTTTTCTCAACTTTAGAGGTAGTTTGTAATGCGTTTTGGTACTTATTATAAAGTCGTGTCTTTCTTGGAGATTGTTTTAACGATACGAAGTTTGTTGGGTGCGGTTTAAAGACCATTAGTCTTTATCAAAATATCTAAAAATTTGCATTTTATAAAATTTCCACGAGAAATATTGTACTTTTATTTTTTTTTTTACATAATTCAGGAATAAAATCGTTTAACAAATCGATGGGTTTACTGTACTAGTCTAGTAAGTATATCATACATTCAATTACGACTGAAATCCATCTAATTGATCATTCGAACTAATAACTTAATCATTAGGTTTACTACTAATCAATGTAGGAATAATTTGAACCTAACCTATCTGAAAGGAATGTACCTACGGGGGATAAGCTTTTAAGTAGAGGGTGAAGTCGATAGGTTGAAGTATTTGGAATTTTTGGCGCTAATGAGAATGTATATTGAAAGAATATCAGTTAGATTAAAGATAACATGTGTTTTTTTAACGGTTTTAAATCGGACAGACATGGTAAAATTATTATCCTTTTTTTTTTTTTTTTGGTTAACAAATTACTGGTTAAAGCAGTAATTCGAATATCCGAGAAAAAAAAAATACTAAAGAGCTTTGTGCCATTTTGACGTTAATTTAGATCTATTACATACTAATGGACAATGCGTGGCCGTCAGTGTTAAAATACTGTAAACATATTATTGTATTGCGTGTACATTAATTTAATTTTAACAATATAAATACATTCTCGAATGTGTTAATCGCACCGTACGTATTGGTATTATAAAATATGCTACATTGATAGTAAAACAATCAATAGAGAAACAATGAAGCCTTATAAATCGTTTCATTTCATGCGCTGGCCACTGCGTTAATTGCATATTGTTGTAGTATAAGTTGTGGCTGATGAAAAACGAGCAGATTACTAGTTTATGGAAATGTTTCCAATCCTACAATTGTTAATTTATAGGCGATGTCAAGTAATAGTTTGAATTAAACCATCGAGGTGGGTCTAGATAGATCAACTCTTGATAATTCATGCATTTGTTTGGAGTACTCTTTCAAGGTTCAGCCGTTAGACATAGTAAATCAAATGTACAGTCAAAAAGGTTGATGATACGAATATCATCTTTTTCCCCAGAAGAGGTGGAAACGTTTACTTTGTATTCATTTGACGGGGATGGTTTTTAGACTAGGGGCTTGAAAATTGCACCGATGGTTGATTCATATTTGGAAAATTTGTCGACGAGCGATTTTTGTACATATAAGCTCATTAATTGCCTAAGCAATGATTAAAAAATATATATTATTGTCGGTTGTTTAATAAAATACTGAAAACAAGAGCGTAATACCGTTTGATTCAAAGGATTTTCTTATGATAATATTATTATTTTCAATATGGTTTGTTTGTACTCTTTCACGGGTACACAGACACACGTGTCTTTGCCCGAGACAGAACAAACACACTTCCAAGTACAATTATTTTGTGTAATTCACTTCCCTAAGAGCGCCTATCGATGAATATAAAAGCAATTATTTTCAGCTTTGGCGTTTATTCGACATGTCTAACAACAATAGTATTTTTATAATCTTCTTTTAAAGCAATCGTGCACAGACGTTGCTCTAATTGACGGTAGCTGCACTTTATTTTAAATAAGTCAAGCGTAATATTGAATAACAGCTTTGTTTATTTACTTTGCACATTTATACCATAAAATTATATTATATATTAGATTGCAAATGTTGATTTGATTTGTAAACATCGAATAAACAGCGTATTATACCGCACTACCCCCGACAAAAGTGACAAAGCTAGAAAATGTTCAACATGTTTGTATAGATATACAATTTTACTATATTATTAAACAAGTAATTTTTTACACATATGATTGTAACTATTTATGTTTCAATTGTTTTATGTAATTCGTTGAGATGTATCTGTCAGGTATCAAGATCCATCGAGATCGAATAAAAACGGTCGGCTCTAGTCGAAATTTGTGTAGAAGGTTTATTGTATACAT